GCTCACCACCGACAGGGTCATACATCTTGAAGAGATCCATATAATGTTCTGGAAGATCCACACGATGAAAATCATCGACTGGCCCCCGACCCTGCAGAACCAGTAAATGTGGTGAAATACACACATCAGTTCTTTTTTCCCCCTCTTTGGAGAGAGAGGACTAATGTGCAATTGATGCGAGGAAATCTTTGCGGGTGATAAAGTTTATTGTCAAAAGAAAATATCTTATCAACGGAAAATCATGCTTCCATCAACAAAATTATACAAATTTAAGTGTCACCAAAAACATATATCTTCCATCCATCTTCGGCCAGGTAGTAGTGATATTTGTTTTTGGTCTCCTAAGTCTCAACCACCACCATATGTCTAGAATCTCTCAATTCTCTTCATTGTTGAAGGATACAATTTTCATATGGGTCACATTCAAAAGTACTCTTCTTTGCAGGGTCGTTGTGGTACATTCTTTGTATGAAGGAATTGGAGGATTTGGGTCACATCCTTTGGAGATGCAAGTCCACTCTCTTGATTTGGGACTCCCTTTTAGAGACATTTGGGATGAGTATTGGTTCGAAATAGAGATACAAGAACGGTTGGAATAAGAATAACAGAGGCAGGAGGCAAAGAGGAGGAAAGGTCGGGGAAGAGAGGGGAGCATTTGCTTATATTTCCATTACCGAGCCACAAATTTTGATGGGAAAAGTTCTGAAACTCATTTTACAATGAAAAAAATAATAAACTGAATCAAATAAATTTCACTAACCTGGTGAGCTATGTTGTGAATTACGAGAATAGATCTTGTGAATATCATGAGACCATTGTCTCTATAATATGCTTTCAAATATACAGGTAACATTGCAGTATGCCAATCATTTGCAACGAAAACTAAATTTCCATCTCCGTAACATACACCCCCACATGGAACATGCCAAGGAACCTGAAAAAAAGGAGGCAAAATATTACTTCCAAATAAATATGATCAGCTTTAGTTGTACCACAAAAAGTGAGAATGTTATTAGAAAATAGCAATTTCCATTTGATAATTCACTTTAGCCTTTCAGCCTCTTGATGGTGATCATTAGCCTTTCAGCCTCTTGATGGTTATCAATGATCGTAAGGCGTTCATCCTTTAGTTCCTGGGTAGGGGTGCAGACCCCTGGCCCTTGGGCTGTTTTTGTATTCCCTTTCAATGAAGTTTCTAGACTTTCTAACTTAAAATATAATAACAATAATGCAGTTTAGCCATTGAAAAAGCATTCGTAGAAGTGGACTAGCAATCCATCGATGTTGCATTCGTAGAAGTGGACTAGCAATCCATTGACATCAATGGAATTGGAGGATATAGGTTAGAGGCTGTTTCTTATCTGTAAATTACATTATCGTTATCAATGGCAGACCTCAGGGTAAAATCAAAGCTTCCAGAGATGTTGGACAAAGCTGTCCTCTCTCTACCCTTATATTCACTTCAGTGATGAATTCATTAAGTTGTCCTTCAGAATTGTTTGGATTCAAGCTCACGAAAGGTTCTGTTAGAGTAGTAATAGGAAAAAGTGAGAATATTTCTAAGAATACTAGTAATAGTATAATGAATCCCAGCTATAATAAGTTAGAGGTTGGTTTATGTTCATAGCTAATCCCTAATCCCTCCTTGTAAATGGGATAATGAATCCCAGGACCATCTGTAGGTCCATTGCTCTTTTATGAGACATTTGGTAGGAGTAGCACTTTCATTGAAATATCTCAAGCAACCTCCATCCATTGCCTGCGGCTGAATCACCCTTTCAGAAAGATGACAAGAGTTTTGTGGGAGAATCTGGTTAGAAGTTCTACTTAAGATCTCATTTTTGTACCACAGGCATTTAATGTAAGATACATCATTTTGCCATTATTTTCCTACCGATATTTGTTCTAATTGGAGGGGATTTTGTAACCTTCGTTAACCTTGGATATCCCTCTCTTTTGTATATTCCATTGCATTAATGAAATTTGTTTCACTTTCAAAAAAATATAAATATCTATGCACTTTAGCCAGTTTTACCTCAACCGCTGCCTTGCAAAAGAATGTCATACGCTTTAATATATCCTGAACCAATGAACATTAGTAAATGTAAGACGTGAGCACTTGGAAATGATAATGAATTAATTTCTTGGATAATAACTTGGAAGGCAATACGATTATATTGTAATTGATATCAGAGAAATTAATATTATTGCTATATCGATTATAATAATAATCTGAGTTTTATTCTCACTATTTCGTAAACTAAGTCCATCCCTTAGCATAACTTTTTAAGGTAAAATAGCAGGTGTCATCATTTTACCTGATGGTCTCCCCCATATATATTCTGTTCTCTGTGGTGAAACATGTTGTTATCAATGAAGACAAAGTCAACTCCATCTACATATGTTTGGAAGAATGCAACTTCAAGGTCCTACCAGTTACAAAATTCACATATCGGTGATAACATACAAGAAAAATTGTTTACAAAACGTAATAGCTCAAAGTAAAAGTTGTTGCACCTGTCCATCCACTTTATATCTTTTCCGAACGCCTGTATCTTGGAGGCCAGCATAATTTGCATATCGAGGTACTATAACCTATAAAGTAGAAATGAAATAAAAATGGGGACCAAGGCTGAGACGAACGTAAATTTACTTATTTAGAAACAATTACAACTAACATTGGTGTTTATAGTAAGCAAGATTGTCAAATGTATCTTTTCTATATGTTGTTTTTAAGAAAAAAAGAACTAGCTAAAAAAAGTGAAAAGTACTACCATAACCCTATGACCGCGACGAGCCAAAGCCTTTGGTAAGGAGCCAGCAACGTCTCCAAGCCCACCTGAAAGAAATCTTCAAAAACTCAGTACGTAATCGATAAATAATGATGTGAATGGAAGTATATGCAGAGAGGCAGGTATTTTTGTTTTGTTTACTGACATCTTAAAAACTTCAATACCAATAATCAGACTCAGAATAATAGAAAGCAAAGCTGAAGTTGACAGATAAAAAAAAAGGCTAAGAGGTATTTGTTGCGCTTGCAACTAATGGAGAAGGATCATGTTTTATACAAATTAAACTAGAGAATTATTTATATTGCTGGAACGATTAGTGAAGTACAACGAGCAAAGCAGAACATTGAACTCGAAATTATTGAGGATAGCTTCTTAATTTCCCCAAAAACAAATATGGTGATAATGAATTTTGTAAGATCCTAAAATGTTTTCACGAAAGGAAAAGGAAAATGGACCTAAAAGGATTTCACAGGCTACGATCATCCACTTAACAGAAAAAGAAAAATACCAGTTTTTGACCAAGGAGCACACTCTGCAGCAACTATTATGACATTCATAACATTGACCCCAGCCAAAGGAGAAGGCTTAACATCCACACTTTCACTTTCAGCAGCATCACTATCAACCTTCAAAGTTGGTTCACTTGGTTGTCCATTCTTTTCTTCTTTTACAGCGGAATATGAAGATTTACTGGCAAGAAAGGCTGGAACAAAATCGGAAGATTTTTTCTTTGAGCTGCCTTTCAGCTGATGTTTGGAATCTGGAAGAATTTTTTTTGAACTTCCTTTCAGCTGGTCTTTTCGATCGGGAAGAACATCAGAATATTTTATCTTTGAAATGCTTTTCAGCTGATCTTTGGGACCTGCACTGGATATTATCTTTTTAAGATCCACAACTTGCTTCTCATCATTTTTATCAGACGGCCTACTGGAAAAAGTCGGTACAGCATCCAGTTGCTTTCTTACATCTAAATTGTCATTGCTCACCGGTAGACTGCTTCCGTTCAAACTGTCAACAGTACCTTCATCATTGCACGAAGGAAAACCAGGAATAGGGAATGAGCCATCCATTTGTTCATTTGAATTTTGTTCTTCCTTGGAGTCGAGGGAAGTACCTTTTATGGATGAAACCAATTTCCTTCTCTCTGCAATCTACAGAACACAGGAAAGTTATATTTGAATGCCAAAATTTGAGCTCCTACAACTGGAAATTCAGGAAAAACAAGAATCCGAGAATGGACAAGATCTTTTTTTTTCCCCGCAAACTATGGCATTTTGAAGTGTTGGAATACTCCTAAAAGAACAGGACTGGCATCACAGCAATATTGCAACATATTGTTCGGCCTCCAATCCGTTATACCTACAGCTGATCTCTAATAGTATCACAAAATTTGGGGGTTTCCTAACTAGGTAGCTGATCTCCATCCGCCAACTCCACTCACATAAACTTTCAGTTTAACTGATAGCAAAGCTAAGAACCGAGTCCACAAAATTATAATATCGGAAAGAAAAAAGCATCAAAGCAAAGCAAATAAAACTAAAAAAACATATATACCTGCTCAAGTAGCTGTTGCTGCATTGCAAGAACCTTCTTGCTCTTTTCAATGGTTGCTTGAATTGCTTCGTCCGGATCATCACTCCTCTGACCACTGTTAAGATCCGAAGTGGCTGCTCTTGCTCGCAGAGGCGTAGGCCATTTCCCGCTCCTCCCAACCATTTTGTCCACTAAAAACCCCACGCCTTCCGCAGACCTCTGATTCTGCTGCTTAAGTGAAGAAGATACAGTCCGATGATAGGTGTTACTAAGAACGATCATGGAGGTCTCTGTGTAGGCCTCGATGGTGAATGGTAGAGACCCTACAGACACCATTTCTCTTCTCAACGGCAGAAGAAACCCAAGTGAGGGACCGGAAATTGAAGGAGACCCAGATGAGGCTCGCATGTAACAGAAATAGAGAAGATAAAAAAGGAATGAAGAGAGGGCAATTGAATTGATGCTATGGGTCGCGCTCGCAATTGAATCGATGGAATCAGAGATGGGTAATGGGCTGTCATTCTGTGAGCCATGTAACAGAAATTAACCCACAAATTTGGACCAAAAAATTCCCCTCCCTTAACCTTAACAACGTGTAACTCTCGAACGGCAATTGGACACGTGTAAATCATGAAGCCGCGAGTGCTCTAGTCTTGGCCGCACCCAATGTTTCCCCTTCCTTAACGACCAAGTCATCCGCTTGATTTTCCGTCTTTATTACCTTCAGAGATCTTGAACAAGGTTTCACAAGCTCTCTCCAATGGCGGCTCTGGGACATCTGCCTGAAGAAGTGATGATCGAGATTCTCTCCAGGCTTCCGCCGGAGTCTCTGCTTCGATTCAAGACCGTTCGAAAATCCTGGTATGCTCTAATCGACAACCCTAAATTCGCAACCAAACATTTCTCCAATTCTCTTAAGCACAAACACGTTCTTCTCAAGCGTCTTGTTACGAAGAACTCCGGCAAGAAGGAAAATATCTTCTCCTTCCTCAAATTTCCCCTTCCCCTCGATGGATCTGTGCCGGTTTTCGATGTCGATTGGCCATTCGATGAGGATTTTCGATATTTCGAAATCCGTGGCCATTCTCACGGTTTACTCTGCCTCACCGATCTTCGTAGGGACATTTTCCTCTGCAATCCAGCCACCAGAGAGTTTCGGAAACTACCGCAGTCGATTCTCCTCCTCACCGAACCCCCGACTGAGCCAGATGGGTACGATTCGTCCACGAACGCAGTCGGATTTGGGTACGATTCGAAATCTAAGGATTTCAAAGTGGTTAGGGTTGTGAATTTTGTGGAAGGACCGGGGTATTTTCACCCTCCGAGAGCGGAAATTTATGATTTGAGTAAAGATCGATGGAGAGAAATTGAGACTCCTATTTGTGGCCATGTATTTTGGGCCCCTTCCTTTGAGATGTACCACGAAGGAACATATTATTGGTGGGCAGATACAGATGACAAGGAAGAAATTATACAGTCATTTGACATGAGTGAGGAGGTTTTCAGGCGAATTCCGGTACCAGAGAGTTTTGAGGGAGAACGCGAGAGGTATAGAAGTATGGGAATTTTGAATGGATCGATTGTTCTGTTTCATTATCCATCCAGAGGGGATGAAAGAGAGTTTGACATATGGGGGATGGAGAAGGATGAATTTGGTGGAGTTTCATGGTCAAAGCTACTCACAATTGGGCCTCTCCGAGGAATTGAGAAGCCATTGGTGTTTGTGAGTTCGGATGAACTCTTAATGGAAGCCAACGAAGGGCAGATAGTTTTGTACAATGCTCGAATCCAACAGTTGAAAGAACTTCCTATAAAAGGGCACCCAGCCAGGTTCCAAGCTACTCTTTTTGTTAAGAGTTTGGTGTCGGTAAATGGAGGAAATAACTTGAAATATGAAATTTAAATCCAAGTTTTAGCCGAATAGTTTACTTTTGAATCCATGCTTTAGCTTTTACACAAAATCATCTACTTCCTTGTACACCCTTACCTCCTTGTATGAGTGTGATTTTAGAACTAATGGTGATCGATGATAGTAAGACCCCACGTGTTTTTAAATAAGCAATATCGGGGTTACACCCATCCTTTGTTTCTTATTGACTTATTGGAAAGACGGTATTCTCATATGTATTATTGTACGTTGTTGAATTTCAGTAGTCTCAAAGCTTTAATATGTTATATAAATGAGAAAATGAGAAATGGTGACTAACTTATTTCAATGATAGATAGATAGCAACCTATCTATCGAACTTACATTATTGCATTGCATGAGAATTGAAGAGCTCAAGAAATAAATTTATTAACGCGATTCAAGGGTGACACCATCATTGTTGAGGCAGATAACAATCTCTGTCAATAGGACTTGGCCGATGCTGTTTTACAACTAAAAAACATAATAGATTCAAGGGTGACACCATCATTGTCAAGAAGGTTGAGATTGTGCCTCAAATTTATGGATGTTTGGCTTCCTGGTCAAACCTGCTTTCAGAACAAATCCCATGTGTGTTCCACTCATGACCCCAAAACCATTTGTGGTTTCCAGTGATCAGATTTGGCCAAACTACGTTAAGATCGTTTTCTAAATGCGAAATCTGAAACTCAAACATAATGAACAGGTTATAATTTGCACATCTAATAAACTGGGCCATGCATGTTTGAGTTTTACCTGATTAAAATCAAAGGCCCGGCAATTAGTTACTGAGTTTCCTCCCTTCTGAGCCACAAGCCATGGATAGTGAAGGAATTTACACATCGTCCAGATTGTAAAGCGCAAACATTGGGCAGCCATTGTTGAACAATCCAAAAGTCATCGAAAGGTTGAGATTTAGTCAAAGGAAGCAATGGCGAAGGCAAACAAGAGGAAGATTTGTGTGTTTGTGGTTGACATGGTGTGGAGTGTGTTAGTAACTTTTGGTAATTATGGTGTTATGTAACTCTATTTATTCTGAAATATTTGATTTGTATTCACGGAAATTAGTTAAGTGTAATTATTGTGGTTATGGGCTTTCAATTATTGTAATTAATTCGATGACATTCAAAAACTTGAATATTACACTATGATGAGAATAGCGTGACATCCTCATTGCTAGCACATATGATTTACGTGTTCTAATCATTATTTTTCATCATTCTTTTCCAAAAAAAATTTAGTATAACAATTTCAAGATCTCATAAAACAAGGTCTATTTCAATGTCAAGAAAATTTAAATACAATATCGTAACAACTCAAGCCCATCACTAATAGATATTGTCTACTATGACCCGTTACATATCACCGTCATGAGACTAACGGCGATACATAACAAGACAAAGTTGAGAATGTTTGATTAATCCACCACACCTAAATGGTGTAAAAGTTATCTTATTTATAATCAAATAAATTAAAAGAATATGAAAAGAGTAATAAATGAAAATAACAATAAATGGAAAGAATATCTAGATATTTGTCTTATAATAAAATATCAAATATGATATATATATGATAAACTATAATTTATTACTAAATATTTTTAACATATCATCGTCGTAAGACTAACGACGATACATAACAAGACAAAGTAAACAATATCTTAACTCTATGGCTGACGGCGATAAGTAACGAGTTAAAACGGAAATTATCTGCTAACATTGAGCCTTGACTTTTACAGAAAAATAATAACTTGAAATAGAGATCTTGTGGATTAAAGAATTTTAAAGCTCTCCAACTGCACTGACCAAATTCAAAGGTTGTCGATCGGGTCACACAAATTATAGAGGACACGTGATTCCAGCAAATTTAGTACAATCAATTAGAGTGATACTACACATAGGTGGCGGTCATTGTTGAACCATTTGAAAATAATATTAAGATGATGAATACGGAATTGAATATAGAAATATTATGGATTTTGATTACTTTTGTGCTTGCAAGCCATATGAAATAATTGTTGGGTTTATATATAGAATTTTCTTAACCATTGACTTTTCTCAAAGGGAAATAATGAGTCTTGAAGGGGTTGGTTTGCATACCCTTTTCCTCGAAACATCGGTATCTATGCAAATTTGCATTTATATCAATCAATTGTGTTCCTATTATTATTGTCAAAAGTCGTTAAGTATTAAAATAAATTTATAACTTGATCGTTTAGTCATGTATCATCATCTAAAAATTTTAAAAACTAAATCTTTATATGTAATTGAACGTCTAATTCAGATGTACTCTTTTATCCATAATCAAATTCAGATCTTCGGCTATGTGTCGCCAGTGTCATTGAGCTCGCTGAAGTCTGCAGATTGGGGCTTGGAGGTCATACGAATTTCAGTTGCATGGTTCGACTGCGGATTTCAGCCGTCCGTCAAGTTTTCCTGCCCAACGCCGCCGATTCAAATTCCAATTCCAATTTCCTCTCCAGAAAACATCGATTCCTCTCCCTTCTCAAGCTCAGCTCCTCAACGGATCACCTATTTCAAATCCACGCTCAAATCCTCGTCTCTGGCCTCCAAAATGACCCATTTCTCATCACTGAACTCCTCCACTTCGCTGCTCTATCGCCCTTCAGAAATCTCAGTTATGGCCGCTCTCTCCTCTTCCATTGCGACCTTCATTCCGCCCCTTTGCCGTGGAATTTCATTATCAGGGGATATGCTTCGAGCGAGTCTCCACAAGTTGCCATTTCGGTATTTGGGGAAATGCGAAGACGAGGAATCAGACCCAATAATCTCACTTTCCCCTTCCTTCTCAAGGCCTGTGCGACTCTCGCGGCGCTACAAGAAGGTAAGCAGTTTCGTGCTGTTGCCATAAAGTGTGGTTTGGATTTAGATGTTTATGTTCGGAACACTCTGATTAATTTCTATGGGTCCTGCAAAAGAATGTCTAGTGCACGGAAGGTGTTCGACGAAATGTCTGAAAGAACCTTAGTTTCGTGGAATGCGATTATTACAGCGTGTGTTGAGAATTTATGCTTTGATGAAGCGATTGACTACTTTTTGAAAATGGGAAACCATGGTTTTGAGCCGGATGAGACCACAATGGTGGTTATATTATCTGCTTGTGCAGAGCTTGGTAACTTGAGCTTAGGGAGATGGGTTCATTCTCAAGTGGTGGGAAGAGGGATGGTTTTGAATGTTCAATTGGGCACTGCCTTCGTCGACATGTATGCTAAATCTGGTGATGTGGAATGTGCTAGGCTTGTATTCAATTCTTTGAAACAGAGAAGTGTATCGACATGGAGTGCAATGATTTTGGGGCTAGCCCAACATGGATTTGCCAACGAAGCCATTGAACTTTTCACAAATATGATGAGCTCCTCTGTAGTCCCTAACTATGTCACTTTCATCGGTGTCCTATGTGCCTGCAGCCATGCCGGATTGGTGGATGAAGGCTACCACTTCTTCAACATTATGGAGAGAGTTTATGGGATTAAGCCAATGATGATACATTACGGGTCAATGGTGGATATCTTAGGACGTGCAGGTCGTGTCAAAGAGGCTTATGAGTTCATCATGAGCATGCATGTGCAGCCTGATCCGATCGTGTGGAGGACATTGCTAAGTGCATGCAGTGCTCGTGATGTTGATGGTGGGGCTCAGGTTGCAGAGGAGGCAAGAAAGAGACTCCTTGAGCTGGAGCCGAAGAGGGGCGGAAATGTGGTGATGGTTGCGAACATGTTTGCTGACGTTGGGATGTGGAAGCAGGCAGCAGATTGCCGGAGGACGATGAAAGATAGAGGAATCAAAAAGATTGCTGGGGAGAGCTGCATCGAAGTGGGTGGCTCCTTGTGTAAATTCTTCTCGGGTTTTAACGCTCGAGCTGATTCTCATGGCATTTACGATTTGCTTGATGGATTGAACCTGCATATGCAAATCATAAACTTCTAATTAGTTGAAGTTACAAATTTCTGATGATTGATCTGTTTATGTAATGGTTCAAATATATATCTGGTCATTAATGTTGGCTGACACAATGATTTACTGATTTTTTTGTTTGTAATTTGTAATGATTTAGCCCTGATGATTTGTTATAACTTGTAATGGGAAATTCTTAGGAGATGGAAGAAATTGACAAAGGACTAAGGTTAAGTGTCAAGCTCAATGCTTACTAGGGTTTCCGATTTCCTTTTGCTCGATGTCTTGTTGGACCTTGCACACCCTTTAGGCGAGCTTTCTAGTTTTCAACTCTCTTCTCTAAGGACGAGGTACTAGTAATCTTGCATTTGATTGACCTTAATCTTGCATTCTTGTTACGTGTGAGTTTTCTTTAGATTTAAAATTACTCCTAACAATTGAAATTGACAAATATAATTTCAAGTTAAAATAATATGTTATTTGTATGTTCATTTATGATGTAAATATTCTCATTTTTTACGAAGGTAAGTTTTTTCCAACAATAAATATGATAGTGTGATCGATATGAAGGACAACGACCTCCACTAAATGAAGGAAGTTTCTTGTACCGACCGCATTAAGAGGAGAATTGATATCAACCATATATAATTCAAAAATAAACTTACTTACTTTCAAGTAAAAAAAATATATATATATTCTACTTTGAAACAAATTTAGACCATAACTTTTTGAGAAAAAGTCTTACATGCAAATGGTTTTGTTTCATTCTACATTCTTTGTACATCATTAGCCATGATTCCTACCCCTCCGTTCACATGGCACCATCACTTTTATTCTTTCCTTGATTTTGATTATGGACAAATAACCGAGAAAATGAGACTAGAGCCTCCACAGATAGCGTTCAAAGTTAATTCCCATCGCTATGAAATCAAAAGTTACAAGATTATTTCAAACGAATAAGTTTGGATTGAGGTTAATTGGACTAGTTTAGGTTGATCGAGTTTAGCCAAGTCATCTAAGTTTAAGGTGACCTAGAGTCCAACCTGAACTTGGTTCGACAACTCCTTGGTCAAGATTGTTCAAAGGCTCGAGAATTTTTATATCAAATCTATATAAATAGACGGTTAAAACTCTCAATTAAATAGGTTCAAATTGCTGTCGATCTCCAATTTGTTAGACACTTCATTTTCTTAGTTTGATAAGATGCAAATTGAGTGGATTAACTTGTGCCGTACGTGCTCATCAATTATCTGATTTATATAAATGGTGATAAAATTATCAATAGAATATTCATCAGTGTAGGTTAAAAAAAAAATAATTAACATTTCTCATGTCCCCAAATGGGACAAAAATAAATAAATATTCATATTTGATGATATTTTTGGTTAAAATTATGTGTCATATGTATTTTTTTTATGATATATTGGAAAGGTCATATTAAAAAATGTTTTTATAACAACTTGTAGAGACTACTTTAAAAAAAAAAAAAAAACTAATATAATATGATCCTCATATCTAAGATATATAATTAATTTTGGTGTCACACCCCACGATTTAATATGTGTTTAATAATGAGATGTGACATTTGGCAAAATAGAAATAAGACATAGAAGGAGATAATGTATTCAATCCAGGTAGGCACGTAAACAAATATCAAGGTCATCAAATATCAAATTTAATTTTTTTAATCTTGTTATGAATCTTGAGCATGAAACGTTTCAAATGGTATCAAATCAAAGACTCTCCCAACAGGATGGAGTCGGGGTGAACCAAATTGAAAGTTGGTCGGCATTGACACTCAAACAAAAGATGGTTATATGATTTATGAAATACCTTACCTTTTAATATAAACTATTACAAACGATGATGATATTTTGAAACATATGTGGACTAATTTTTATTTTGAAAAAAAAAAAAAAAAAGAAAGAAGAAGAAGTTAGAAATCACTGATTAACTTAAATAATGATTATCAAGACAAATTTTCATTTAATGTGATGTCATTGGTTAGAGTAAATGGACGATTAACCTAAATATTGATTGATTAATCGTAAACAGTATTTTAATATTAATTATATTTACATAATTATTTTACTTCTCTTTAGACTATTAAAATTCCAAATAAGGTGTATTGGACCATTAATGATTTTTTAAATTCTTAATCTTTGGTTCAGCTATAAAAAAAAAATTAAAAAAAAAAAAAAAACTTTAGAGGCTAATGTCTTCAATGGCACGCTGGTAGTGTCTGGCTCAGATACCATCCACCCTTTTAAGGGTACGTGTCTTCACTGACACACTATTAGGTATCTAATTTTGATACCAACCATTCCCTTGGGATTCAGGGTCCTCCCTGACACACAGTTGAGTCTAACTCTAGTACTATTCACTTTTTTGGAGGCAAGCATTCTTACTCACATGTTCTGATACTATTTGTCCTTTTTAGACTTTTTGCTCTTTCTTAAAAGAATTTCTTATTATTGTAAGAGGACAAACGTGGCAAAAGAAAAGAAAGTAATAGTTTAATAAGCTTTAAAAATACGTAGAAAGAGATATGTAAGTGTAACCACTTAGAGGCCTACACCCGTCCAGAGCTTGATTATAAAAAGGGTATCCTCCTGGGTTTTTATAACACATCAGGGTTCTTCCCCCTTTGGCATTACTAAATTATATTGCCAAACCTTGAGATCTTCCCACTTTCAAATACAATAAAAAGATGAGTTGCGTTCAAAATCCTGAGCTTCCCAACCCAGAAACTGTTGTCCACGTTCAAGATTTGGTCTCCCTTGAAAACCCAGATTCCAAACACTCCATTTTTGCTTCTTTGTTTCAAAACCATTACCCTCCTGGCTTTTCCCGAAAGGTACCTAAACCCTTTTCTCACAATAACATGTTTTTTTACTCTTTTTTTTTTCTTTTTTGGGGGTCTTTGATGACTGAACTCTTACCTCTTTCCATGACCAAAACAGCTGGTGGCGGAGGTGATAGCCACGTACTTGCTAGTGTTTGTGACTTGTGGAGCAGCCGCATTGAGCGCCAGCGACGAACGGAGAGTCTCACAGCTTGGAGCCTCCGTGGCTGGCGGCCTCATCGTGACGGTAATGATCTACGCTGTCGGACACATTTCTGGCGCCCATATGAACCCGGCTGTCACCTTAGCTTTCGCTGCAACTCGACACTTTCCATGGAAACAGGTCTCACTCTCTACTCATCTATTATTTCTTTACTTAATTCAATATCCTAATCATTTCCTCTTTTTTTAATTATTTAATACAAATTTAATATAACCAAATCCTCTTGGAGAAAAATAAGTAAAGAAATACATCTGATATGCAAAATTACGAGAGTTTAGGCTCAAAGTGAACAATGCTCAAAGTGAACAATATTATATTATTATGAATATACGTGATTTCTAACCGTCTTTTCATCCCAATTTGATACCTCATTTGTTTCAAATTTAATATTAATATTTAGGGCGGTGCTAAGAATATAGGAACGAGGAGCCCTGTTCTTTATTTATATATATATATATGAGTTTGAAATTGGGTTCTTAAAGTGATTGTTTGTTTACCCTTATCCCAATTTATTAAACTTTTAATTACTCATTTACCTTTAATAGTTGAATTCGTCAAGCATTTAATAAATTTTTAAAAAACTTTCTCTAATTTGTATTATTATGGTAGATATTGTTAGACGAACACAACTCTTCACAATGTTATGATATTGTCCACTTTGAGCGTAAACTTGGACTTTCCAAAATGCCTCATATCAATGTAGAGAGTATTCTTTATTTAAATCCATGATCATTTCCTAAATTAGCTTAGTGGGTATTTCATCATCCAACAGATATAAATAGGGGTAGATAGAAAAAAGAAGGAAGAACACACGAGAGCCGTTAAAATTGGTTTCGACTTTATTTGACAATAATTAAGAGAAGAATTTTGTAGAAATCAAAATATTGGTTTAGAAGCGTAGAAGAATCAGTAGAAAGGACAGGATGAGATAAAAGAGGGAAATGTAGGCCATGTTTAGTGGCCACATGATGTATGGACAAGCTACTCTAACTATTATTCTTCAGCCACGGCCACAAGGAGGAGAAGCTTGTGTCATCGTTTTGTGGCCACAACCTTGGCTTCATTTTTCCGACCAAAGAATGGGATGGGACATTTAGGCAGCATAATTCCAACACTCACTCAATTTGGGATAGAGATAGAAATAGAGATAGAGATGTCCACCAAAAGTGGTTGCCCAATTGTGAGTGGGAGGTATAGCAAAGGACAACACATATCCTCTTCATGTGTGTTTTGATGGATATCAATTCACTTTTTCAAATTCCAATCAAACAATCAAACAATCAAACAAATTATTTTAAATTCTCTATGAGTGATGTTGGTTTGATTTGGTTGGGTAGGTTCCATTGTATGGAGCAGCACAATTGAGTGGTGCAACTTGTGCGGCCTTTACACTTCGCATATTATTGCATCCCATAAAACAATTGGGCACAACAACGCCATCGGGGACAGACTTTCAAGCATTGGTCATGGAGATTGTGGTTACTTTCTCAATGATGTTCGTCACATCCGCTGTTGCAACTGACACTAAAGCAGTAAGAATCAATGCTTTCAAGTTTATGTTTTGATTTGATTCGGTTTCTCAAAATGGTTGTTTGTTTGGCAGATAGGAGAGCTAGCAGGTATGGCAGTTGGGTCAGCTGTGTGTATCACTTCCATCTTAGCTGGGTAAGGAAACATAACATTTTTTGGTTCGCTTCAAATAATCACTAACTCTTTTTCTTTCTAAAAAGTGATTAAAAAAAACCGTTTTGCGTATGGACATATTACATTAAACAAATGAATCTAATAAGGGTTTGTGTTAGCGACTGTTCAGACCTGTATCAGGAGGGTCAATGAATCCTGTGAGGACATTAGGACCTGCATTGGCAAGTGAATATTATAAAGGACTTTGGGTGTACTTTGTTGGGCCGGTTACTGGAACTCTATTGGGGGCATGGTCATATAAATTCATACGTGCCAGTGACAAACCTGTGCACTTAATTTCTCCTCACTCATTTTCGTTCAAACTTCGAAGAATGTCAAGATCAGATGTTAGTGAGAGTGAAAAGTGAGCGTTGGCTCCTCGTCTTCTTCCATGTCTAAGATATTTGGAATGTTGGAAAAGATGTGAAATAGTTTGAGTGTTTCATGGTGTACTATGCTATAAGCTTCTTTATTATAGCTTAGCATGTATGAGAAGCAGTGATTGTAACTTCCATCTTCCATGTATGAAAATTTCTTCCTTTGCTCACTTTGTTGTTTTTAGTTCAATCATATAAAGAATAAGTAAAACAAAAAACAATAAAGGTCCATATTGCAGTTTTTGTTTCATTTATGTATCCTTTCTTTATTCGAATGGGTGTTTGGTTGTATCCACCTGGATAAAGGTAAAGAAATTGGTTGAATATATTTTGTTCTTCCTTGAAGAATGAAGCTGTCCCCCACTTATTTCATTCTTCCATTCAATACATCAACTGTCCCTCTTATTTTGAGAACGGCACTACAAATCAAAATGTGATTCTCATGCAACCATGTCATTTCATTCTCCTTTAACGGATTCTGAACTCAAGTTTCAAATGAATTCGGAGTACCTTTGGGACAAGTTTTTTTAAGAATAAATAGTTAGGTTGTAATTCGAGGTTTTCACACCAAATGCTTCGTTCTCCTCCCAAATCCAACCCCGTTCGAGGCCAGCATCCTTGTTGATAGCACGCCGCCTCGTGTCCACCCCCTTCTGGGTTCAGCCTCTTTGCTGCCTCCTCATTGGCACATTGCCTAGTATCTCACTCTAATATCATTTGTAATGGCTGAAGCACACTGCTTGCAGATATTGTCTTTTTCTTTTCAGACTGTCTGCATCCTTGTGAAAAATGTTTTGTTCTTCTCTCCAACCCATCCAACTCATAAGGCTCACATAATAATAAAATTTAGAATCGGGGGAGTGATATTGGTGGTAGTGTCTTAGTCTCCGCAACAAAACACACCCACTAAGTTAGGCAAGAATCATGAGAATCTAAAAAAGTAAGTGTATACTATACATGAGGTTAGTAATAGTATATAGTGGGCAGTAAGTCATGGGCTGACACCGACCAAAAATACTGAAGAATCTGTATAGTGACACCATTTTCAGAAAAGGTTGGAGAAGAAGATAAGAAATTGAGCCCACATTTTGTGCATTCAATGTGTTTTGGGTGTCTCACTCTCACTCTCCCACCCTTAAAACACTTTATGTGGGTAAGATTACAGAATCATTTGCTTTCCAACATTTTTTAGTATTTTAATATTTTTACATATAAGATTGTAATCTTCTAGATACCAAGATTTTGCCACTCAATAAAACTCAATCCTATATTATATTATATTATATTATATTATATTATATATACAACCACTCAAGGTTTGAACATATGGTTGTTTTTCGATAATCAGTCAGAGAAATTCGGTAAGAGGAAATCGTCGACGGGAGGTTGTTAGAAGAAAAATAAAATGCGTAAAATAAAATATAGAGAATGACTGAAATTTTGACTCCCTTCAAAATCAGGTTGTTTCATATTCGGAACAGATTTCCTATTTAAATATAAATTATCCTAAAAATGGCGGGAGAGTGGCCAACACTAAATCAGTGTCACTCCCTACAAAATTGCTTGGTCATCCATTTGACGTGTTTTGTCAAATGGTCAAACGGAGGTATTCTGAAATCGTGTGAATCTAAATAAGGAACAACTCAAAAAACCACATATTTTATCTAACATATATAATCTCTTTAATAGAAGGTAAAGAAGTTTTGACTGTCTTCTTGTTTTCAGATTTGAATAATTGGGAGTGAAGAAAGATAATTCAAAGAGAAATCAATTTTTATTTAAGAAAAAATATAATATAATTATAATTGAGATCATTTTCAGATCAAAAGTCCCAATATGTCTAATTTTTATTAATATTCACGCTATTTAAATAGAATACAAACTAACATCTAATAAAAAATATAAATTAATTAAATATTAAAAATAAAATATGAAATTTATATATTCCATAATTAAATATATATGAAATTTATGAATTAAAATAAATGAACGGTTAGAAGTAAAATTTGTTTCAAACAACTAAATTTACAATTTAATAAAATATTATTAAATTTACAAAAATAAATATTTAAAAACATAAAAATAGTGGAAGATATTTTTGTCTCATAGGTGCTTTCATTTCCCCCACGTATTCTAGAGATGCCACGTGGCGGACGTGCATCACACTACAGAACTTTTCATACTTTTCCATTATGAATTTTTTTCTTTCAAAAATTAATTAATACTTTTATGAAAAAAGAAAAAATATATATTTTCTCGAAACGTCACACTCTATTGCATCTACGTGTTCTTTAAATTTGAAAGGTTGAAATAATAAAAGAGACTAAATTATTTATATTAGAAGAGACTAAACTATTACAAACAAGTAGACAATGGATGGGTGAGATTCTTCACCGAGCATAAAAGCATAGTGAATTAGTGAGATTCTTTTAAGAGCATAATCGAACTTTATAGTAATACATACTTTTTTGGCACAAACATTATTTATTAATTAAGACATATCTACATTTGTAATGTTACGTTCTAGAGAAACGAATGAAATAGTTGAGAAAAAAAAAAAATTATTCTTTAAATAGTGGACTATCCAAAAAGAAATATGACATTATTCTTGCGAACCGATATGAAAGTGGAAGGCTTAGAGTTGTAAAAAGCAAATAATATCGTGTATAATATATAGTTAAAGTTAAAAGATAGTTGGGTATATACCTCATAAGCATATACCTACGACTATATCGATCGATATTAATCGAAATGTAATCTAATTCGTTTACACATTCTATTCTTAACCTTAATAATGGGATATTTTCAATTGAATGAAATAAAGAATCACAACTAAATTAAATTGGTTTAACTTATAAAAATATTTTAAAAAGTGTTAAACTAAATAAGTCCAAAAAGAATTTTATTTATTGGTCGTTGAGAAAAGTTGGGTAAAGTTGAGGTCCTCAAAATGGAGTACCAGCTGGGCCAAGCTTCGAGATGCCTTTCTTTGGATCTTCTTTTATGGGCCAGATGGCTTTTGGACTTTGATACCAGCGATCCACCCATGGGTCTGCCGTACAAATACCTAAATTTAAAAGTAAAGTTAAAAGAAGACAATATTTGCTAGCGGTGAACATGGACTATTCCAATGTATATCCAATTTTATTTCAATAGTTCACTCAATATATTCTTATTTAGCCATCTCCGAACCTTTTTTCGAGCTCCATGCGTTAACCAAGCATGGAAAAAAAAAGTAAAAAGAAAAGAAATAGAGTTTTTGTAATAGATTGATTTGAAGTTAGAAACATAATTGTTTGGAGTGACATCTCTTTGTAATAATTATGCATGCACTTTTCATGTGCATATGGATACCTTTTCTTTCACTTTTTTATTCCACTATTAAATCTATTTTTTTAAAATATATTTATTATTTTCTCTCCACTTTACATAATTATCCATTTATGAAAATGATAATTTAATTTTTGTCCATATATCAATATTTCTATCCATGTTTAGTATATAACTTTTAATTTGAGCAAATGATAATAAATTTTATCTTATTTTAAAAATATGAAAGGTTTTTTTTTAATGAATTTTTAATCATGTAATGAAATCCCAATGTTTTGAATCTAGAATTGTCCAAATTAGCGACAAATAGATGAATGTTCCGTGTAAACCTCAGAAAATCCACTTTATTGGGAGAGACCATCCTTATCCTTTAAAAAATTTATGATCTTTTAGTATCTTATTTCCGGGCCATTTTATTATTATTATTAATTCATTCGTTAAAATACACTATCATTGACTAAACTAAAATATTAAAAATTATAATTTCTATCTTCATTTCAAACATATATTTATTAACATGTCACATGTCACATAGGGTTTAAAAGGCGGTGGTTTAATTCTCCATCCATCCAACTTTACAGCATTTAAAATAATAATGATAATAATAGAGGGAAATTTTAATGTTAACCTAAGTTGGTTAGGTTAAATAAATTTAAGCATTAATTTGAGAGGAAAACGTGTTGAATTTTAAAAATTATTGTTAGGTACATCCTGCCCTTCCTTCATACAAAAAGGTCGGCACGGAAAGTAAGAGAAAAGACGCATTTAATTGAGTGGTGACACGTGGACGCAAGTGGCCAACTTGCTACTACCTCCCAATCATTTATCTTTCATTTTTTTCTTTTCTTTCCTTCTAATAACAACCATACTTTTAATTCTTCAAACAAAAAAACAAAAAAAAAATTAGTATTTTTTTTTTTTTTAATTTGTCCCCTCAATGGGTTATTTTAGTATGGTACATTTGTCTGGTATTCTATTCACTCCAAACATAGCGATTTTAAAGCTTTCATTTATGCGCATTTAATTGCAGAGTCATTTGTCAACTTCACAATAGAACCCAAACTTTCAAGGCATTAACTTGGGGCCCATCTACTCCCTATGAATCTTATCTTTGATATTACTTACGATATTTTCGCTTCTACTCTTGTATCTACCCTTATCTTCACAATCTTACTCATTCTTCTTAGCATGTTAGACGATGTTCGTTCTCCTCCATTGCATTTGTTTAGACAAGCAACACTCGAATGTCGCCACTAATCTTGATTCTAACATCAAAGTCACTACTTACTCTCTTCTCAGTATAAATATGATATTTTTCTCCACTTAAACAAGTTATTGCATTCAATGGCTCGAGAGGCACATAAAAATATTCTGAGCAGTGATGAGATCTATCACATGACAGCAAAAATTTATAAAATTTATTATATTTATAAATTATTTATTTGTGAACAAACTTACAAATATCTCAACAAAATTTCACACCAGGGTAATAACCCAATTATTTTCTTAAAATAAAATAAAAAAAATTAATCAGTCCATTTCAGATTAGTTCTGACTTTTAAAAATTATAAATAAAATAAAGTTATATATAATATGTTAAATATCAATATTTGAAGAAACAAAATGCAACACTATTCCCTTACTTAACAATTAAGAGAAAAAAAAAAAAAAAATCCTTACATATTCCTATATATATATCTAGATATGTCTATTATGTTGGATGTGCAGATGGACTAATTAACGTTTTTAAATGGGAAGTTAGGGGTCATGACGTATGACGGTGCCACTTCATCAAAAAAATCGAAACAAAGAAAAGAAGCCCGATTTATGCCACGTAAGA